GTCTGCCTTCGGCTCAGGTCATGATCCCGGGGTCCTGGGATCGAGCCCCACATCGGGCTCCCTGCTCAGCGGGAAGCCTGCTTCTCCCTCTCCCACCCCCCCTGCTTGTGTTCCCTCTCTTGCTGTGTCTCTCTGTCAGATAAATAAATCTTTAAAAAAAACAACAAAACAAAAACAAACAGAATGATGGATTCAAATAGGACTAAAATGATACTTAAAATTTTTTTAAAAGATTTTATTTATTTGAGAGAGTGAAAGCGAGAGGGATCACAGAGGAAGAGGGAGAAGCAGACTCTCCACTGAGCGGAGAGCCTGACAAGGGGCTCGATCTCAGGACCCTGAGATCATGACCTGAGCTGACGACAGATGCTCAACTGACTGAGCCCCCCAGGTGCTCCAAATCATATTTAAAATTAACTTATTTTGGGGGTGCCTGGCTGGCTCAGTTGGTAGAGCATGCAATTCTTGATCTTGGGGTCATGATTTCCAACTCTATGTTGGGCATAGAAGTTACTTTAAAAAAAATAATGGGGCACCTGGGTGACTCAGTCAGTTGAGCGTCAGACTCTTGATTTCAGCTCAGGTCATGATCTCAGGGTGGTGGGATGGAGCCCTGCATTGGGCTTTGCACTCAGTGCAGAGTCTGCTTGGGACTCTCTCTCCCTCTCCCCGATCCCTCCCCCGGCTCATGCTGTCTCTCGCACGCTCTCTCTCTCTCTGAAATAATTTTTTTTTAAGATTTTATTTATTTATTTAACTGATTTTTTTAACCTTAAATTGATATAATACCTACAGAAAAATACAAATGTACAGCTTAATGGGTTATAACATAAATAACTGTATAATCACCACCCAGGTCAAGAAGAGACTATTGCTAGCCTTTCCATCCCTTTTGCTGTTTGTCTTTAATATTAGGAAACTTCTTTGTTTTTGATGTGAGAATTTTTTAATTTATAGCTTATTATTAGTTTCAGAGGTAGAGTTCAGTGATTCATCATTTGTATATAACACCCATGTGCACCCATATACAACACCAGTTGTATATAACACGTGGTTGTATATTCCATCATGTGCCCTCCATGTACCCCATCCCCCCACCCCAATGTAAAATTCTATAAGAGAAGAAATTGAAACTGTGAAGTGGGGTTTTGAGTTATCTTTGGCCTTCACTTGTATGGATTACTTTGTGTGTGTGTGTGTGTGTGTGTGTTTTCAAGTTTTATTTATTTAAGAAATCTCTACACCCAATGTGGGGGCTGGATCTCATGACCCCAAGATCAAGAGTCGCATGTTCCTCCAACTGAGCCAGCAAGACACCCCCAGACTACTTTATTTCTTTGATTAAGGAAAATTAATACTGAGTTTATGAGGCATAAAAATAATTTTGAAGCAGTAGAATAGTGATAATATCTAGAAAATGCTTTCATTTTCACAAAATACACAGTTGAAAATATTTAGAATGTTATGTTATAGGACCTGGTTGATTCCCTTTATGGGGCTTAAACCTCAAAAGAGTAGTCTATGTATTTTTTTTATTTTTTTAAATGAATAAACTATTTTTTCAAGTAGGTTCATAGCAAAATTGAGTGGAACGTATTTTGTTTTTTTTTTAAGAGTGGTCTACATGGACTTCTGGGTGGCTCATCGGTTAAGCATCTGCCTTCTGCTCAGGTCATGATCCCAGGATTCTGGGATTGAGCCCCACATCTGGCTCCTTGCTCAGGAGGGAGCCTGCTTCTCCCTCTGCCTGTTGCTGCCCCTGCTTGTGCTCTCTGTCTCTCTCTCACATAAATAAATAAATAAAATCCTTAAAAAATAAAAAGACATATACCTAGTGACATGAAACCATTAAAAAAAGTCTACATAGTGAATAGAAAATTCTTCATGTTGTCATTAACTGTCGTGTGTCTGGCTTTTGACATCCTGAAGTGGTATGTGAATTGAGGATATGTTGAAATTGCAGGATGTGGAAAATGAGCTAGCGGTACAAGTTAGTATGAAACATGAAATTGAACTTGCCATGAAGCTGTTGGAGAAAGATATCCATGAGAAGCAGGATACTCTGATAGGCCTTCGGCAACAACTAGAGGAAGTTAAAGCAATTAACATAGAAATGTATCAAAAGTTGCAGGTAAGGATCATTTTTTTTTTTAATTTTTATTATAATTATAGTTTGTTAACCTACACTGGAGTAGAAATCAGTGATTCATCACTTACATACAACACCCAGTGCTCATCATAACAAGTGCCCTCCTTAATACCCATCACCCATCTAGCCCATCCCCCACCCACATCCCTCCCGCAACCTTCCGTTTGTTCTCTGTCATTAAGAGTTTCTTACGGTTTCCCTCTTTTTTCTTCCCCCTTCCTATATGTTCATCTGTTTTGTTTCTTAAATTCCACATATGAGTGAAATCATACGGTATTTGTCTTTCTCTAACTTATTTTGCTTAGTGTAATACATTGTAGCTCCATCCATGTCGTTGCAAATGTTAAGATGACCTTCTTTTTGATGGCTGAGTCATATTCCATTTTATATATATATATATATATACACACACACACATATATACACACATATAACACATCTTTATTCATTCATCAGTCAATGGACATTTGGGCTCTTTCCATAGTTATTGTTGATAATGCTGTTATAAACATTAGGGTGCATGTACTCCTTTCAAATCTATATTTTTGTATTCTTTGGGTAAATACCTAGTGGTGCAATTGCTGGATCATAGTGTAGTTCTATTTTTAACTTTTTGAAGAACCTCCATACTGTTTTCCAGAGTGGCTGCACCAGTTTGCATTCCCACCAACAGTGCAAGGGGTTCCCATTTCTCTGCATCCTTGCCAACACCTGTTGTTTCTTGTGTTAATTTTAGCCATCCTGACAGGTGTACGGTGGTATCTCATTGTGATTTTGATTTGTATTTCCTGATGATGAGAGATGTTGAGCATCTTTTTATGTGTCTGTTAGCCATCTGGATGTCTTCTTTAGGGAAGTGTCTGTTCATGTCTTCTCATTTTGTAACTGGATTATTTTTGGGGGGAGTGTTGAGTTTGATAAGTTCTTTATAGATTTTGGAGGTAAGGCTCATTCTTAAATTCTTAGAATTTCTTGAGTGTAATGTAAATTGAAAATAACTTTTGTATGAAGGATTTGGTTTTTAGCTGTGCTATATTAGTAATAAAAACCAGTGACTTTTTTTCTGTATGGAAGCTTAAGTAGTGTAGCAATGGAATAGGTATCAAAGAATAAACAAATCACCTATCTGAATTTCTTTTTTAATGCCAAAAGGTTAAGTATGAAGATTAAATCTTTTGGGAAAACTCAATCTAAATATGCAGGACATTTCTGTGAATTCTTTATACAGTGTAGTCCTGAGAAAGATTTATTTTTTCTTAAAAAGATTTTATTTATTTGAGAGAGAGAGAGCATGAGCTTGAGGCAGAAGGAGAGGGAGAAGCAGACTCCCCGCTGAGTGTGGAGACCAACACAGGGCCTGACCCCAGGACCCTGAGATCATGACCTGAGCTGAAGTCAGACACTTAACCAACTGAGCCACCCAGGTGCCCCTTTAATTATTATTTTTTTAAGATTT